TATCTTTACGGGCAGTTTTCAGCACGGATGAGAGGGGAAGATGGAAATCTTCATGGGCAGTTTTCAGCAACGGTGAAAGGGGAAGAAGGAAATCTTTACGGGCAGTTTTCAGCAACGATGAGAGTGACTGCTGAAGTTAAGGCGTGAGGTGTGATGGGTTGAGGAGCCATGAACACCACAAAGGTGAAGAGAACCTCAGTAGTTCTTTTGTTTTTTGGGGGTTTTTTAATTCAGTCGACTTGCTCAATAGTTATCACCAGCCACATGAGGTTGGGTGCTGGGGATAGAAGGAAAAGATAGTTATTGCAATTGCTTCATGTTTGATGTTTTACACCCCATCGACATAATTAAGATAATTAAGGGGGCGGGCTGCTTCGAATCGGAATGTCAGTGCCATCCAGGCGGAGATGAGATGGATGCAACCTCCCAGCAGACAGACGGAGATACTCTATTAAAACAGCAGCAACAACAACAGAAAACAACAAAAACAACATCTACAACAACAATAACAATAACAACCCCCCCCCAAAAAAAACCCCGTTCACACGGGAACTTTGCACGTTTTTATCTCTCTCTCTCTCTCTCTCTATCTATCTATCTATCTCTCTCTCTCTCTCTCACTCTCTCTCTCTCTCCCTCTTGCCCTTTTTTAACTCACAGTGGAGCATAGGCCATCAACATTTCTCTAGCGAAGCCTGTCCTGTGCATCCTTTTCTACCTGTTTCCATGATGTCTCCGCATTTGCCATTTCCGCATGTACCGCTCGCCTCCATCATGTCATCTTTGGTCTCCCTCTCTTACGTTTTCCTTGTGGATTCCACGTCAAAGCCAGTCTGGTGATGTTTGTCGGGGATCTCCTCAGGGTGTGCCCAATGCATTTCCATTTCTTAACCTGTTTGTTGTCCTTTACTGGCCTTTGGATTGTTCTCTCGAACAGTTGAGCAAATTTGTGACTCGATCGTACTACTTGATTCCCGCTAACCTTCTTAGACATCCTTTTATGAAGCTCAGCAGTTTCATTGCTGCTGATGCTGTGAGCCTCCGTGTTTCTGAACCATACAGTAGAACAGTCTTCGCATTTGCTTTGAAGACCCTCAGCTTGATGTCCAATCACAATTCCTTAGACATCCATATATTCCTGATGATGATGTAAGCTGTTCTTGCCTTTTGAATTCTGAGCTTGATGTCTTCGTCTGTTCTCCCTGCCTTGTTGATGACACTTCCCAGGTAGGTGAAGGATTCAATATCTGCCAATGGTGTCCATTGCAGTGTTATATGAGCATCGGATGCATTCATTCGAAGAACTTTCGTTTTATCCGTGAGAATATGGAGTCCAACACTATGGTAGAAGGTCCTGGGGTGATCTGTCTTCTGTTGCATCTGGGCTCGACGGTGAGAAAGAAGTGTCAAGTTGTCGGCAAAGTCCACGTCTTCCAACTGACTGGACAGGGTGCACTGAATGCCACAGCGTTGTCTCGATGTTGTCTGTCTGATTATCTTTTCATGTTCATAATCATTTGAATTTATAGTCCAAACTTCGATATTTCATCCAAGCCTTGTTTCTTCTTCTTCTTCTTCTTTTTCTTCTTCTTCTTCTCTTCTCCTTCTTCTCTTCTCCTTCTTCTCTTCTCCTTCTTCTTCTTCCTCTTGTTATTTTTCTTCTTCTTCTTCTTCTTCTTCTTCTTCTTCTTCTTCTTCTTCTTCTTCTTTTTCTTCTTCTTCTTCTTTTTCTTCTTCTTCTTTATTTTGGAAGCCAACTATGTAAATACATTTTGATATGATAATAATGCGTTTACAAACGAATCTCCAAAGTAGCTTGTCTATAAACACATGTTAAAATTAAGAATAGCCCACCAAAAGAGGTAAACAAACAAAAAACAAAACAAAAAGAAAACAACAACAAACAAACAAACACAAACACAAAGCAAATAAAAAGTCACTAAGCGGCATTACATTGCAACACCAAAAACCTACAACTACAATAATGACAACAACAACAACGTGATAATATACTTAGTAACCCCCTAGATACAACACTCAAAGAATTCCACAATAACTTATAAGAATGAAACATGTGCAAGGAGAAATAAAAATAGCAACCTGTTATGTTTATATTGTATCCTTTTAAAGCACAAAAGTAAAGATTCAAACCGTTTCATTAACCCAGGCTGCTACTATTCCGGTCCATTTGAGTACTGGGAGTGATGTCGTGCGGTCTATATAGTAACTGACATTTGTTATCAAGTTTGTTATGTTATTTATACATAATACACTAACTATCATTATCGTACCACAGCAAAAACACAAACCCTTCAGATATATCTTGTAGCGACACTTCCTCGCTGATAAACTGGTAGGTGAGGTCAGCTTTTGTCGCTACTGCTGATTCTACGTACACGGTAACCGGGCATGTAAGCAGCAGCTAGCCTCAGTGTCTACGTACACGGTAACCGGCAACCGGGCGCGTACGTAGCCTCGGGGTCTACGTACACGGTAACCGGGTGTGTAGCCTAGTCTCAATGTCACACGCACGGTAACCGGGCGCGTAGCCTCAATATCTACGTACACGGTAACCAGCAACCGGGCGCGTAGCCTCAGTGTCTACGTACACGTTAACCGGGCATTTTGTTTTGTGGGCGGGCGCTTGTGCTAGGTGCACGTTAACTGCTTCGCTCCCTTCGTGACCTTGACCCTTTTCCTATTTAACCCCGCTTTTTATGTCCCAAACCCACGAAAATTATCCCAATCTACTCCCCGTCATCTTTCCCAGTTTAGTTTAGTTTTAGCCGAGGTTTTACGGCACTCGCAACTGCATAAGGTCAAATGAGCGCCAGATAATTAGAGGTGTTACAAGAGAGTAACAAACATAAAAAAGAAGAAGGTGAGATAAGGACGATAGATGTTTGACAGGAAAGAAGGAGCAAACCACACCAGAG